GTGGGGCAACCACCACTGCTGGCTGCGGCTGCGGCTGCGGGGCGACCACCACTGCCGGCTGCGGCTGCGGCTGCGGCTGTGGGGCAACCACCACTGCCGGCTGCGGCTGCGGCTGTGGGGCGACCACCACTGCCGGCTGCGGCTGCGGCTGTGGGGCGACCACCACTGCCGGCTGTGGCTGCGGCTGCGGCTGTGGGGCAACCACCACTGCCGGCTGCGGCTGCGGCTGCGGCTGTGGGGCAACCACCACTGCGGGCTGCGGCTGCGGAGCGTATGCATGCCCAGGCTGGGGTGTCTGTTTGTTTAGGCAGTGTATAATCTGGCCTACAGTTGCCCCACGATGCCTCACAGGGATTATGGGAAGGCCGAGGCGGGTGCGTGTTGTTGAGGCTAAACCATCGCGATGTTGGTGCGAACAGTCACAAGGCCCAGACGCGCTCAGGTCAAATGTTTTGCGCCATGGGCCTGACGAAGAAAACCAGTACTGGCACGGCAGTTAGCATGTCGCAATGCAATTTGGTGGGCCACACAATTACCATCGACGCGGTTCAGGACGGGCGGGGCATTCTTTCTGCTTGGGGTTCCCTTTTTTCTGCCAGGGTCACTGAACAAGAGACAGAGAGAGAGGGATCGAGCCGTTCTCGTGACGCTCAGCCATTTGAGCCATTTGTTTTTGAGGATCGCACTGGGTGCCCTTTTGATTTCTGGGCGAACAAGCCGACTCGGTCTTTTCTACTTTCCGCTCAAAGGAAACTACAAGTGGATGGGTCCCCCATAAAACCAATGTATACCGCCCCTCTCCACAAAACAAACGGCGCATCAGCGAAATAACCACAAGAAGAACAGAAGCAAACCGCTCAATTTATATCACTATAGTGTTTTTAAGGCCTCAAGATCCCCGTGAGGACCTGCAGAATTATAACTTGACCTTTGCGAATGGGCGCATGATGGTGTCGGCCAACCGGCCCTTGAACACGGGGGACGCTACAGACCTCACTCTCACCGTGGACAAGACCTACTACGTTCTGCTGGTGGTCGCTTTTCAGATTTACGATTGGGGCCCCATTCTCTTCATCGTTCTGTTGCGAAACTAACAAATTACACGGATGTTTGGCCATATTCTGCAACAAAGAATCCCTGCCTCAAAATGAGAGAAGGACCTCATGAATGGTTGGCTGGTTTGCTGTTGCTTTCCCTTCAACCCAACAAGTGTACCTAGCTTTTAACGGGGGAAGAAAAAAACACCCCCCAAAAAACAACACGCTTTCGAGCGGAGGGGCAGCTGGCATTTGTTTCTCGTTTCGAGCCGTGCGAGGTTGGCACCTCCATCAACGTGGGCTACCACGGATCTTCCGCGGCGCAGAGCGTGGTTTGCAGCGCCAGCCTCACGCAGAAAGGTCGGGGGCCCCGTGCGATGGGCCCTTTCGGAGCGGAAGGCGGAGGTAGCAGTTTTGAGACACCAGTTTGACCTGTTGGCCCCTGTTTTGCTCTTCTTTTTTTTTTTCCTGTTTCGGTTTTCCGAAGCGGTGGAGCGGAAAGCAGATGTTGGACTAGGGCCCTGATTTTTGTTTTCGGAAAAAGCGGTGAAACATGCGGAATAAGCGGGGGCCCCAGCGGTGGGGCGCTTTGGAGCGGAAAGCAGATGTTGCACTACTAGGTCCCCCAGCTAGGTGCCCTTCTCTATTTCTTTTTTTGGTTGGGAGGGTTCCCCTACTAAAATAGCCTACAGAAAAAAGTTGGTGCCCTGATTCTAACCTCTCTGCTGGAGGAACTAGACTAGTTTTTGGGACAACCCCCCTGTACAAATGAGGACTGTTTGGCTTTCATGTGCGGAGTATCCCGCAAGTCCTTGGAACACAAACAAGTCCTTGGAACACAAACTGGTTAAGTTCCGAATCCCGAACTGCCTTGGAAACCAAGCACAAGCTATGGTAAGTCCCTTGCACTATTCGGGGACTCAACCGTTCTTCCAAACGTCCATCACTGGGGGAAGGTACGCTACACGGCCTGGCTTTCATGCCCTTGCAACGCCTGCTTGAAAGGGCTTCCTTCTTGGAGCCAGACAAATGTCACGCCTGTGCTTGTGCTGAGCACGTAAGTCGTTGCACCTTTTCGAGCAGTCAGGCAAAGAAATGACATAGGACTGCACTACGCATTTTCTGTGCGTTGACTGCCACTGCCTTACAACTCCTGGCTGCAATTGGGTGACACCCTTTAATGAGGGTACGAAATGAGCCATGTGGAGAACATTAATACGTTTTGTTGTCAAATCAATATCATCTGGGCCTTGTAGAACAAATACTTTTGAAACCCAACACCAGGACACATTCCTGGTTTCGGTTTTCCTTTCCTTGCATGTAGCGTCGATGAACTTTTGTTTTGCCTTTTCCGAGGCGAATGCAAAGTCTCCACTGAGTGGGGAACTGAGTCAACGACCATCGCCGCCATGTCAAACTCCATCGCTATGAGCCTGTGCTGGCCTGTGCTCGCAGCATTGGCCTTCTTCCAGTGAGCGAGCTGGAGGTTGTTTTTTGATGCAGAAAAGAGAGCCACAGAAAATTCTACCAACGGGCCTTTTGAGCATGCGAACATGAAGGACATGACTCGTTGTTGGTTTCGGTCTGCTCAAGAGGTTTGTTGGAGGGCTCGGTGATTGTGAGACTTGCGACTGCAATCGCCAGTGCCGTTGTCCAAAGGAGATGCAATGAAATCAGGCACATTGCCACGTTTCAGCCATCTAGTAGGCGTCATCCACTTGTTTTTTGGAGGGCTAGAGCCTAGCATGGTTGTCGTTGGGAAACATTTTACATTTTTGCTTATAGTGGTTTAGTGGGAAATCCCCACTTAACTGCTAAAATTTAATTTATTGCTCCCCTTCCAACGTCAACCAAGCCAGAGCAGGCCTGCATGCCTCAACGAGCTTACCCATTATACATGACCTAATGACCCGTTTTGTTCTCTTATCCAGCCGAATCCAGCGGTGGTTGAGGCTCGGTTGGGGAAAATAGGGAGCCCTGCAGCAAGCCACTGGAATTTTTCTGACACGTTTCAGTTTGACTTGGCACATCTCCTTGAGGCAACGCGGCCATGGCGAGCAGGGGAGAAGACGTCGCGGATCGAGAAGATGTAACTGGATAGATCATCCCATGGGTTGGACATTTGGATTTCGGTCAAAGGACCTCTAAACAGTTTGGCCATGAATTTAATTGAGTTTAGATAAGGACCCCTTTGAAAAAATGGTTGGTGGACAGTCCAGTGGACATAAAACCACACCAAACTGATGTCCACCAGAGGGTCCCTGATCAAAATTAATGCCCATTTGAATCCCTAATTGATAGTTTTCGGACATTGCTCCTGTCGCAGCAAGGGGATGGAGCGCAATGGCTCATCTCTTGCACAAGACACAGACAAAAAAGGCATCTTAAGCGGATGGATTTAACTAGTACAATAATGATATATTCTGAAAAGCCGGTCTTAAATGTCCAAAGCAACGATACAACTTATTGTTGTAGACTCAAGTCACCTCTTTGCCCTTTGCCATGTTGGTTCTTCTTTAGTTTCCTGCTTAGCTAGCAAAACGCGGTCACTTTTGCAGGGTTGGATCCAGTTGGCCAAGTTTATGAGAAGTGGCGCTGTGAGCCGCAATTTGTTCAAGCGCTGGCATCACACACGGACACGTTCAGGTCGACCCTTGATTAGTAAACCTTGTAAAGTATTGGGAAGGTGTTTCCCGCAAAAGTGGAGAATCCCCACTCCTGGCACACCACAAATATTTGTGAACCAGGACGTGGTGGAAACACCCCAGCAAGCTCACCCTAAGACAAGGCCTTGCCGGTGTAAGAAGCGTTCTTGGGGGACAGTTTCGACTGGGGATTGACAGCGATACAGCTCAACAGCCGGGGCGGCAGTCCATCGACCCTGTTCAGCACCTGCGCAGAGGCCGCCTGGCGCTTGCGCTTCGCATGGGGTTTGGCATAGACATCCCACTTGCAAAGCTTGACCAAACCCCTTGCCCGTGCAAGTGTTATGGGTTTTGGTGGTGTCCCACTGTAACCTCGGAACTACTGGACGACTGGCGCGCGCTGTTGGATGCAATAGGCTGGGCTTGCAGCTATGTACATCTTCATATGTTGCCCAATCGGCATAGGCATCCTTCGCTCAAAAGTCGTTTCGGGCTGAACAACCTCTGTCCGATTTCAAGGCAGGTTCGTCGCATTGGTATCAGCTGCAAAGCTGGCTGTGCCATGTGCGAAGGGGTCAGTGACTTTGAAGCCACAACGAGTCGCTGGGCAGTGATTTTCGGCGGTTAGTTCGAGTTCGCTGCTTGGCAAAAAAGAACTGAAGAGCTAGCGGGGTTTGATCACTAAGCTCTAGTCAAATGAGGGTTGTTCGACCAAAAGGCTAAGCACCTCTTTGGGGGGTCCCCTAAAAACAGCTACACATCCGCACCCCGAAATGGAATTAGGGGGAGTCGCCCCTGGAATTCCATTGGTTCAAATTTTCCTTTATATATACTAGTTATAAATCAAATTGGGTCCCCCCAAAAGAATAATGGGCCAGGATCTCAGGTGCACGCCCCTTTGTTCGGTTTCCAACGAGTCAGGTGCTCCCCCGACTTACCATGATCTAGCATTGTGTGTTTTCATGTTTGGGACCCCAGCTTAAACAAGGCTCCTTAAAAGGTACATGTTGCAACCATTTGAAACATGTTGCTTTTTTCCACCAAACTAAAGTTGGAAACCACCATTTACAAGGCAATGTTCAGGTGTATAATGCAAGCATCCCAGCTTAAAGTGTGAAAGGGGCATCGAAAGGGGAGAAGGTGTTTTCATTTTATCGGTCCTTAAGACAACCCCCCCCCCTGCCATGGACACTTAGAGTCGATTTTGCAGCCTGGAACCCTAAGAAACCAATACCCTTAATGAAGAAGGTTGCAAAATAGACCCCAAGTGTCCATCAGACCCCCCCCCCCCTCACCCATGCGAGCCTGTCGATGCCAGACGCTTGGACCAAGAGCGGCAGCCGCTGGTTCCGCCCGGCGTCGGCGATCTGGAACAGGCGGATTGGCCTCGGATGCAATTCGCCCAAGTATCGGTATGGGTCCAAATTAGAGCACCAGCAATTGGACCGCAAGTTTTCATCAACTTGTTTTATTTGCCACGGTTCTATCTTTGGGTGCCTATTTTGATCCACAGCCTCATTGCTTTTGTGAGGGTGTTGGTAAGAAATCTTGAGAGGCAACCAGAGCCGAACAGGAAGGATCTTCCGTTGGACCCGTGAAAAGTGGTACTTTTTGCAGAGAGGTCAAGATCGTGGCTCATGCGTTCTTTTCTGGCTCGGTACCCTTGTTGGATAAAGGGAGGCCCCAAAAGGAAACCACTCACCAAGCTTTGGTGTTTCACACAGCAGTCAACTCGCAGAAACGGGGTGGGGTGGGTGGACCCCCATTTGGAATGGCACGCACGCAGCCATCGCTCGGAAGCGCTGGAAATCCCCATGGCTTGAGTGGAGGCCACTTCCTTTGGCCCCTGTGAGTTTCAAGAAGTGCTCGGGGGAAAGTAAGCACTGAGTACAGGGCTCCTTAAAAGAAAAACATGTCGCAACCATTTGAAACATGTTGCAACCCTTTTCCACCAAAGTAAAGTTGGAAACCACCAAATAGACAAGTTGCAAGGTTCGGGTGTGACATGTAAGGATGCCTGAGGTTGCGCTATGGCGTGCAGCGTTTTGACAAGACAGCCAAGTGATTGCCACGGATGGGGTCATGGATTGTCACGGATCCGAGCCCAGAGCGGGCCTCAAAGTGAGGCTCGCTGCTCTCAGTTTAGCGATTTTTGTGCTTTGTTGGAGTGTCCGATTTCTTTTGGCAAGAGCTGCATACTAATTGCCATCCCAACATAAGGGTCGGGAAGGTTGTGATATTGCTCTCAAGTGGCGTGGTGTGGCTCTGATCCGGTCGGTCGGTTTATGGCCACAAAGGGCAACATGCTTGTCCTTTTGGTTGTCAAATCTGTGTCCATTTTTTGCGCTGCCAAAGGGTGATATCACCTTTTACTTCTGTTTCTTTTTTGTTTTGATTAGGGGCAATTGAGAGACCCATGGTTATAGGATGAACCTGCATGTGTTTATAATATACATATATATATATCCTCCTGTCCACCAACGTGGAACTTGACAGAGGGTCCCTTTAAAAGGGACATGGTCCAAACCAGGACCCCTCTGTCAGGTTCCCTGTTCATTGATGGGAGGGTATATAGATATAGTACATATATATATATATACATATACAATGAACTCATATATATATATATAGCAAACATACTGTTTATTGCGGTAAAATTAAGATGGCAGGATCATTTGCAAACCTGGCTTTAAACGTGGGTTGGCCGTGGACACGTTTTCCTTTCGGATCAACGGCTCGTTGGAGGCACATCCTCTCCTGGGCCAAAGCGAAGGGCTACACCACGGCCATGGCGAGCTGCTACCCGCTGCTTCGGCTGCCACGGACTGGGGGGCGGTCTCGTCTGGGTCTCGTCTGTCGATGGAAGGCACCAGGTGGCCATGGTTGAAACCAGAAGGTTTCTTGGTATTTACATGGGGATTCATCAAATATCAGGGTTTCCTACTTGGTATTTACATGGGGATTCATCAATTATCAGGGTTTCCTACTTGGTATTTACATGGGGATTCATCAAATATCAGGGTTTCCTACTTGGCATTTACATGGGGATTCATCAATTGTCAGGGTTTCCTACTTGGTATTTACATGGGGATTCATCAAATATCAGGGTTTCCTACTTGGTATTTACATGGGGATTCATCAAATATCAGGGTTTCCTACTTGGTATTTACATGGGGATTCATCAAATATCAGAGTTTCCTACTTGGTATTTACATGGGGATTCATCAAATATCAGAGTTTCCTACTTGGTGTTTACATGGGGATTCATCAAATATCAGGGTTTCCTACTTGGTATTTACATGGGGATTCATCAAATATCAGGGTTTCCTTCTTGGTATTTACATGGGGATTCATCAAATATCAGGGTTTCCTACTTGGTATTTACATGGGGATTCATCAAATATCAGGGTTTCCTACTTGGTATTTACATGGGGATTCATCAAATATCAGGGTTTCCTACTTGGTATTTACATGGGGATTCATCAAATATCAGAGTTTCCTACTTGGTATTTACGTGGGGATTCATCAAATATCAGAGTTTCCTACTCGGTATTTACATGGGGATTCATCAAATATCAGAGTTTCCTACTTGGTATTTACATGGGGATTCATCAAATATCAGGGTTTCCTACTTGGTATTTACATGGGGACTCATCAATTGTCAGGGTTTCCTACTTGGTATTTACATGGGGAGTCATCAAATATCAGGGTTTCCTACTTGGTATTTACATGGGGATTCATCAAATATCAGGGTTTCCTACTTGGTATTTACATGGGGATTCATCAAATATCAGGGTTTCCTACTTGGTATTTACATGGGGATTCATCAAATATCAGAGTTTCCTACTTGGTATTTACATGGGGATTCATCAAATATCAGAGTTTCCTACTTGGTATTTACATGGGGATTCATCAAATATCAGGGTTCATAGGGGTTTCTCCATTTCTGGGTTTAGTGGTTGGAATCGGACCACTTTTGGAGAGGCCAACCGCCCCCCCTATGAACACCAGGGGTTGAGTAATATGGGGTCTCAATATGTGGGTGGAACGTCCTTCTGTTTTTTGTTGGAAAAGAAAAGGAGCCAGCAAAAGTGGCTTGAATTCAGTTTTGGTGTCCCTTCAAAACAACTTTGAAAACGGGTATCCTCAAACACAACTACACCCATATAGTACTTGTGTCTTCCGTTCGTTGGTAAGTTGCAACGGTAAAAGCGAACGCTTACAGCCCACTCATGAGTCCCCCGTGTGGAGCGAGCCCTGTGGGTTGGCGAGCCACCTGGGCTGCACATCCTGGAAGGTTCCCCTTTAGTACCAACCAGCATAACACACAGTTGCTTAGGGAGACAGTCTCATATATATCTCTATATATATGTATATATATATATACATGGACGCCATCCCCTCAGAAACTACTTGGATGTTGGTTTTTTGAGGTCTTTTAGCGATGTCAGAGCTTTCAAAGATGCCCGTGGTAAACTCCTTTGAACCACCATGAGCGTCATGTTGAGAAGATGTCTTGCTAACATGGACTCAGTTGGTGGCTGCGGTTTGTTGTGGAGCCCATATCTCTGGGACACCATGCGTGGGGGTCAAGGATTTTGATCATGTTTCACATGTGTTCCATTTGGGTGTTTAGGCCATAGCGCTATGAGTTCTTTTGGGTGCAAGGTGAGTCACGGTCGGGTAAATTCAATCCTGGAAGGCTCTGCTGTGTGGGGAGTCTGTGCAGATCCATACTGTGGTTGGACGAAATCCATTTCGCACCCGTTTGAATCCAGAAACATATTAATATTGTTTCTGATACATGGTATTTGCACGGGAACCATATGATTCATGCACAGGAGCCATCCACGCAGGAAGTTGTCGAATCCCAGGCACGACGTGGCTTCGGTGACACGCTTCGTCAATGCGGCATACCTCAGGCGCGCCTCTCGAGAAAAAAAAAAAAAAAAAAAAAAAACAGTATCCTCGGGAAGGGCCTTCGCTGATTCGGGGAGTTCAGCGACACATGTTCGCCACCTTCCCACCCTTTGCACCACCCGATTGTAGCCGAAGTCCTACTTTTATGCAAAGTTGAACGATACCTGGAAACAGATCACTATAGATCTTAACGCCTCTCACCCCCACGCGAGCCCCAAAAAACTCCCCTTTGAAACTGTCTACGAAGTGTATGTCCCACTTAGCATAGACGAGGGCTCAACCACGAAAAGAAATCAAACACGCCGAACAAACATATTAGCAACGATAGCGAAAGTTTAGACACGATAAGGGCACCTATAGAGGAGCTGTAGAGGAGCTGCAGAGGAGCTGTGGAGGAGCTGTAGTGGAGCTGTGGAGGTTCCAAAGCTCCTCTACAGCTCCTCTTCTAAAGCTCCTCTACAGCTCCTCTTCTAAAGCTCTCCCTCTACAGCTCCTCGTTTACGGCTCTCTCTACAGCTCCTCTACAGTTGTTCTACACCCCACACCTCTCCTAAAGCTCTTCTGCAGCTCCTCTACAGCTCCTCTACAGCTCTTCCCCAGCTCCTCTACAGCTCCTCTACGGCTCCTCTACAGCTCCTCTACAGCTCCTCTACAGCTTCTCTACAGCTCTTCGCTCCTCTATCGTGCAAAGCGCAACTCGTTAAGCTCTACAGCTCCTTTCCAGCTCCTTTATCGTGCGACGAAGCACAACAACCTTCCCCCCCCTCCCCCCCCCGATCTTCTCCCCAGTTCCCCCCCGAAGACATTTTTCCCCCTTCTTTGAAGATCTTCATTTCCCTTCACTTTCCTTCACTTCGGTTCATGTCCCTTTATGTCCGTTTTTGTTCCCTTTCTTTTATTTGACTTCATGTTATTTCCATGCATTTTCCTTCATTTCCAGATGTTCCAAGTCTTGCTAGCGCAGTTTTCTCGTTCGGTGTCGCAGTTAATGTTAGATAGCGATTAGTATAGGGGAGTGAATACAGAAGAAAATCTCAAAATTATTCACTCTCCTGAAAAGCAAAACCCGAAAATATGTTCCCTTCCAAGAATGGACTATTTTTGAGGGTTGAAACGTTTGAGTCCAACGCCACGCTCCTCCCAGTCCCAGCAGCTCCCCACGCTCCAAAGTCACACGCCGCTACCAACCGAAGGCAATCATGCAGTTTGTTTTGAGGGTAGGGAATTGTGAAAAAAAAAATGGCCAGGGCAGCCTGCCAAGAAGAAAGCCCCGCTGTTCTCAGGTACAGCCAGAAATGGCCAGAATCTCTGGATTCCTTCCTGTCCCAAACCACCAAATGCCTTATCAATCCCTTTACTTGAAGATGCACCCTGACAAATTTTCAAGGGGGTGGAACCCCCATGAAGGCAATAATGCAGCTTGTTTAAGGGTAGGGATTTGTGAAAAATAATCAGGAGATGGGATATCAAAGGAATTCTGAACCAATACTAAACCAAATCTAAACTGTAGTGAGTCAACTGAAAAGAATACTGAACCAATACTAAACCAATTCTAAACTGTAGTTAGTCAACTGAAAAGAACACCGAATTAATACTAATCCAAATCTAAACCGTAATGAGCCAGCTCAAAGGAATACTAAACCAATACTAAACCAATTCTAAACAATACTTACTGGAAGACTACTCAGGCAGGTCCCAGTCTGACCCCCATTTTATTTTTGGGGTTTTCGCTATTGACCCCCCCCAATTCGTTTGAGGGATGGCATTGCTTACCGCGGTGCATGTCCCGTTTGCTGGGATTCACCGACTGTCAAGGAGTAAATCAGGCATCTTCCCCGTCGCCAACCTCGCAGTATTTTCTGCAGCTTTTTTTTTTTTTCTTTTTTTTTTTTTTCCGCGGGGGAGAGGGGGGAGGGGGACGGGTCTTAAAGGATATACATGTTTGCTAAGTTGATATCAACACCCAAATGCCATCTGTGTCAAAGGTTTGTTATTTGCTTTACATCTACCAGGTGGTTTTGGTGCGGTGCAATTTATCCTTGCGGCTTGCTTTAACTAGTTTTTCGGGGCAAGTGGTCAACCCGGCTTAGAACCCACAAAAGCCATGGTTATACTTCTCCGTTCAGTGGGTAGCTTCAGGCGTACCAGCCGCTTTGACGTACCAACTCGTTCGCTTTCAGGTGGCGCGTGCGTCCTGGGGCCATCATCGTGATCCATGACCGGTGGCACACCGCGGAGACCTTGCGGAGGGCGCTGCCGTCCATCCTGACGTCAGGACACTCGCGGACGTCTCGCAGCTTCTTTCCGGGCGGTGTTCGATTTTAACACCAGCCCCCCCGAAAGGGGGACCCTCGGCAAAAAACCGCACCAGAAACGTATATATCTCATTCTTTGCTGATGGTTCCCTGAAGCTGTTGTGGAATTGAAGGAAAACCAAAAGGGACGGTCCCCTGAACAAAGAAACACCTAATTGTTTTATCCTTGGATGCGAAGGTCCGAAGTGAAGGCATGGGATCAATCAAACCCAATCCACGGATAGCAAAGAGGCTTCAGAGCTACACCGCCAAACAATGTGATCCTGGGTCTTCCAAATCATGGAAATGTAAAGGTAAAATCCGGAGACCCAGCTTCTTTTCAGCGCCCTCGATTCATTTTATGGGTGCTATGAACCATTTTGAAAATAAGGGCATAAATATAAAGTCCTAAATCAAAGAGGTCACTTACGCCATCTAAAGGGCACTTAGACCCTCAGGGTTGCCCTCCCCAGCAGATTCGGGCAAATCGAGCCGCAGCGACACGTGAATGCGAATGACACGCTGGGCGAATCGAGCCGCAGCGACACACGAATGACAATCACACACAGGGAACCGACACTAGCGTAAGTGACGTTTTCAAGGGGGGAGTGACCTCGATTCGCCCCCACTGACACTCAAATGACACGCTTTGACACTCAAAACGCCATGTTCGGGCTTTCCGGGTCGGCCCCAATCAAATGTGGCAGTTGTCACATTTCGACATGGGTAGCTATTCGATTTCAGGGAGAACCCAGGATGGTTACATATGTGTTCACATTCAAGTTCTCGGCGGGGTTGGTGGAATTCCGTTGAGATAAATGGCCCGCTCGATTGCCACTGGGCACTTGCAATGCGACATCCAGGTTTTTGTCCCAGGGGCGTGTGCTACTAGTAGTATCTAGTAGTCTAAAGCAGGTGTCTGAAATGGCACGGACGGCGATGCGGGTCAGTGCCACTTTGTGCTAACATGAACCCGTTGGCAGAAACCTTTCCGGTCAGCAGATGAGATGGGGAGTGACATACGCAAGGGTAGCGACTGTGAACGTATAAAATGCGGGCCTGCGAGGGGTTGCCCATTCTGAACGGAGGGTCCAAAGAGGGGTCATAGTTTTCACAACCATCCGAGCTCGAGCTTGAGTCCGCTAAATGATATCGGCAGCACCCACCCTTGTTTGGGACCTCGGTTGGCATCACAAAGCTTTACAGGCTCCTTTATCCAGCATCTAAGAATGTTTATTTTGGGGTTGGAGGTAGAAGCTGAGGTACTTGCGGGTAAACCCTCAACGTGTGTTTGCCTCGTGGTTGCTGTTGTTCTGAGTTCAAACCACACCCGCAGGTATTGTTTCTTACAGCCACCCTTTTGAGTGTCGGAGTGGTTGTCACTCCCCGCCAAGTGATTAGAAAGTCAGGTACAAACTTAAGCCACCAGTCCATTACCAGAGTTCCATTTTGGGCACCGATTTTTGACCCACAGCTGTATGTGCCTTGAGCTTCCGGGGTTCAGCTGGGGGTCTCCTGATCTGTGCTGGCTGCGCGAGGCATGCGCCTGGGCACTTTGTCGGAGCTTCAGGAGGTCTACGAGCAAGAAACAACCGGCAAGGAGAAGTGAGCCTAGGTCCCCCAGCTAGGTGCCCGACCTCTCACCAACTTCCTTTTTTGGTTGGGAGGGTTCCCCTACTGAAATAGACTACAGAAAAATAGACTACGGAACATAGTGCCCCTACCAAAAATGGCCTACAGAAAAACAGACTACAGAAAATAGTACCCTTTTACCAACTTTTTAGGGGAATGGGTTCCCTACTAAAAAGAGGCACCCGCTCCAACCAGAACTTCCCCCATAAACAATTGGAACTTCCCTGTGTGATGTTTTCAATGGGCACTGTTCAGCCACCAACATCTAATCCGCCACCGCCTGCCTGTCAAGGGCTGCGCATGCGCTGTGGTTTTTCCCCAATCCTTTGGCTCCGAGTGGCCACTCCACGCCTACGCCTTGGCCTTGGCCCGGGCCTTGGACCAAGGGTCAGCCTGGGAACGGGCTTCAGCGGCAGCATCCTCCTTGGTGCTACCGCCAGCAAGCATCCTGCGATAAACTCGCGAATACACTCTGTTGTAATTATCCTCCTTGACCACCTTCGCCTTTGGCTTAGGTTGTGGCTTCCCCTTACCTTTCGGCTTGGGTGCCTCTTTTGGTTTGGGTGCGCTCTTCGCACATTTGGACACCTCCGATTTCTTGGGCTTTGCCCGAGCTTTTGATGCGCATTTCGCTTTTGGAACTGTCGACTCAGAAGCATCCACAACCTTGGGTTCTGCAGGTTCTGCCTGGCGGGCAAAACAACAACATAGCGCAACTGACAAGAGAACTTTCAGTCCTGAGCGTTGGTGATGGGGTCCAAAATCACAGGTTCCTGTTCGGGGTTCACAATAAGTGCCTGTCCCTCTGGCCGACAAGAAACAACTTCCGGTCCTGAGCGTTGGTGACGGGGTCCAAAATCACAGGTTCCTGTTCGGGGTTCAAAAAGTACCTGTCCCTCTGGCCGACAAGAAACAACACAGAGCAACTGCAGTTCCGGTCCTGAGCGTTGGTGATGGGGCCCAAAATCACAGGTTCCTGTTTGGGGTTCACAAAAAGTACCTGTCCCTCTGGCCGACAAGAAACTACATAGAGCAACTGGCAGTTGCAGTCCTGAGCGTTGGTGATGGGGTCCAAAATCACAGGTTCCTGTTCGGGGTTCACAATCACAAGTACCTGTCCCTCTGGCGGACAAGAAACAACATAGAGCAACTGGCAGTTGCGGTCCTGAGCGTTGGTGATGCGATCCACAATCACAGGTTCCTGTTCCTAGCGGGCAAAAAACAGCGTAGAGCAACTGGCAGGGGAACTTCCGGTCCTGAGCGTTGGTGATGGGTTCCACCATCATATGTTCCTGGCGGGCAAAAGACAACATAGAGGAATTGGCAGGAGAGCTTTCCGGTCCTGAGTGTTGGTCACATGTGGCTTGAGATCCATGTTGACCTCCACAAGCTCCGGTGGACAATGGGAGTCCTCCAGAAACCAAGATGCGCAAACCACTGGTTTATGCAACACCGGTGAAAAGCACCTAGTTGTCGGCTCAGCCTCGTAATATGGTGAAGGGATGATAACGTCCGCAAAGCCAACTGGTGCCATCGTCACGCATTCCTGAAATTGGCAGACACAAAGAACAGGACAAAACTCCTTCAAGTCCTCCAAATCCTCCAAGTCAACGCCCAAGTCCAAAAAAGGGCAATGACGAAGCTTTTTGTGAAATGGTTGTGTCCCAGGTCCTGGTGCAATGGCTTAGACGCCAAGAGCTCTTTGGACTTGCCGGGCTCCTGGACAAGCTCAAAAAAAAGGGGTCAGGAAAGATTCATAGGGTCCTTTGCTGCAACTTCGGCAAACCGCTGCGATGCTTCCTGTCAGTAAACAATCCACGTGTTAAATAGCAACGTAGCGCAGAAGCACAGGAAAATAGGTCCTCTCTCTTCTGCTTGTCTTGCACCCTGTTGGCAATCCAATCGCTGTCAAAAACATAGGTGTCTTGCGAGCTGCGTGGTGAAAAGGAAGCGTGATGGTTGCCGTCCTGTTTGCGAGTGCGCTATCGAATTTTGGACTAAGCATACCGAGCACGTAGCAGGCTTGCCCTGGCTGTAACAGGTATGTGTCCCTTAACCAAACAATTGTCATTCCCTTGGACCCCTTCCCTTAAGCAAAACAACACACCCACACTGAAAGGGTCCTGAAGCTCCGCGGGATGATGGACATCTTCATTTCCTGTCGCCGCCTGGTGTAATATGAATCTCTTCCGGAACTGATAGTATCTTGCGGTACCGTTTGGGTGTCCTTTTTCTTTTTTGAGGCGACCCTAAAAAGGGGTGGTTTACAGGAAAACCCATGATGCGACCCTAAAAAGGGGTGGTTTGCAGGAAAACCCAAAGGCGACCGCCATTGAAACGCGTGGTTCCCTCAAAACAATACACATTTTGAGAAACAAGGGAGAAGTTCAGTATTCAATTCCCCTGTTTGAGAAGGGCTGCTTAGGGCAGCAAAAGATCCCCTAGTCCATATACCAATGGTTTAATAGTTTCATGTTGACCCCTGACTAAGAAGGAGGAGGTTGCCCCTAACAATAATCATCCAATGGTATTTGGAGCTAGGGGAAGACAAATGAGGGCCAGTCATGCGAAGGTTGCCATGCTTTGAAAAACTGCATTTTGTTCTTGGTATCATGCTTGGAGAGACAACCCAGGGTTCAACGCAACTCCCACACCACGCCAGCCGAGGCAGCACTTCCAGCGCCTCTGACGTGTCAAGCTGCGTGTCCAGGTAGGCCTGCGGAAATGGGCAATGTTGGGCAAACCTTTCAGATTGTTTTCTTTTGGGATGAGCCAAGAAATGTAAAAGGATGAGACCCGCCTTCCCCTCAGGTGTTGTGTCCAGCTTCAATGCCCAAGCCCTCTTCAAACGTGGGGGCGGTGAGGGTTTGTTCATCTCCATGTCACTTGAGCTTGCCTGACAAAGGGCACATTTGTTGGTTCCAAGGTGCCTGCAACCACACCCGCCTCCAACGAAGCCGAGTCGGGCTGTCGGTCTTGCGAATCCTGCGAGCGAAGGATGGCGAAGGGGGAAGTGGTTTTAATTTGTTGGCTAGCTGGGTCCTGCGCTGAATCCTCCGTTGTCAAATCCACAAACTTCTTGGCTAACGCCTCGCATTCGGCCTTCTCGGCCTGTTCCAGCGCCTTCATGGTTTCAGACATGGGTGTTTCTTTGAGTTGGGAAACATTCACTTGTTCATCTTCATGCTTCTTTCCTCGCTGCTTCCCAGACTTGTGCTTTTTGTCTTTGGAAGCCTTGGCCTTTGGCCGCTTGTCCCTCGCACCCTTTTGCGCCCTTTTTTTTTTGGGTTTGGCTTGCTCGGCTGCATCATCTTTATCGTCGTCATCATCCTCATGCCCCCCAAATAGTGGCTTAGCAGGGCTGTCGCTGGAATCATCGCACTTCCTTTTCTTGTCCTTCTTCTTACTTTTCTTGTCATCATCTTTTTTCCCTTTCTTCTTCTCCAAGGACGGTGACTCGGAGTCTTCTAGGGCACATCGCTGAAGCAAACCTCAAGCAAGCTTTTTGGTTCTTTGCAACTTGAAGCTCCCAAACCCATCGTGCCACCAAGGTTGGGACCTTTGGAAGCAGCAGAAGGAGCGCTGGAAGGCTCTGGCCGTGCTGACGGGGGAGGCGGTGTAGCAAGCAAGGAGTTGTACTCCCCCAAGTCAAACCGCATGCTCACCTCCACATTGCCTGCTGCTCCAACTATAGGCGACACACTGCGAGACCCAGAAGAAGACATGGCTCCGGAATTCGCTCCCTTGTGTGGAACCCCGGGCTTGGGCAGTCCATCGCACGAGAGTCAAGCCAAACTTTCACGGCTGCTTCCAGTTTCACACCAACATATTGTCTAGTTTTTTCTGGTCCGCGTTGGCAAGCGTGTCCATTTCATTGCTGAGCAATGACTGTACCCCCAGGCTTGCCTAGGCTACTCCTACTTGCGTTCTAAAGTTTGTCTCAAAATCTTGTTGCATTGCGGTGGAGACATGGCAGCGATGTTGTCTCACCAGGCCATACCAGGCTCAAGCTTCCGTGTTCGCAAAGTAGATGGGCATATTCTTCAACCAACGTGACCGGACTACTGTTTGCAGTCACCACTCGCAGTGCTTCACAGAACTGGCACTGCCTTGTCGGCAGCAATCTCCAAGGATCCAGCCAACAAGCACGTGGGCCTCACTGGCACAAGCGCCTCATTTTGGCCCGGCTCGAGGTGCAACCTTTGGACGCCGCAGATTCCACCAATCAGCAAACACATACAGTTTTGTTCCTGATTTGTTTGCCAGCTGAGGGCAAGCAGGCTTCCCTTTTACCAGTTGGCTCAACGCATCAAGCATCGCGTGCAAAGTGGAGTTTAAACTTGGACTAGTAAAAGATGATATTGCTAACCACCGCCGAAGGGACTTCAACCTCCAGGCAACCAACAAGTTGGAACTGCATCGCAACTTAGCCAAGTCCACACGCGCGCCGAAGGTCAGGGCGTTGCCGGTGGTCGCCTGGCAGCCATGGAGAAGGACATGCTGGGGCTGGGGTGTTGGGCGCCTTGCCCTTTGTCGCTTTCTCTCTTTTAGGGTGTCGAGAGCGAAGCACACAGGCCCGTTGGAGGTGAGGCTGAGGTTTCCACGCTGGTCGTTTTCGATGTTGTGCTCAATGACGCTGATGTTCACCACCCCGTTATTTTCAAACTTTTGGATCAGAGTTTTGAGGGACATCACCTTCAGTTGGAAGCTGCCACAAACAAGTATTGACTGTTTGGAACGAAAGGCATCCATGAAAACAAGAAAGGGTCAAATGGGCCTGCCGAACATAGGATGAGAAGCGCGGTTGTATGCATCTACCTGCTTCAGGTGTTCTGGCAGCTTCCGGTCGTGTTCAAGAAGCACCATTGTAGATCCCGCATCTCCGGCCATGTTGAACGAAAGCCATCGTCCAGATGCTGTGCTGTCTGACATTGCATCTGTAGCTTCGGTTCCTTTGAGGAAGTCGCCACTCCCAAAAGAGAAAGCCTCTGTCAAGGCTGCAACTGTTGTGGCTGACTCAGCCGTCATGAACAAGCGGTTGGCGCTCTTGCACCAGT